ACAGGGAGGATGTTAAACTGGAGAGGGTTCAGAACAGATTTACCAGGATGTTGCTGGTTTGGAGCATTTGAGATATAAATATAGACTGAAAAGGTCAGACTTTTTTCACTGGAGCATAGGAGCTTGAGGGGTGACCTAATTGAGGTATATAAAATCATGAGGGGCATAGATAAGGTGAATGACAAGGGTCCTTTCTTTCGGGTGGGGAATTCAAAACTAGGGGGCATATTTTTAAGATGAGAAAAGGAAGTTTTAAAAAGGACATGAGGGGCAACTTTTTTTTTTAAAATACAGTGTGGTTTGTGTGGAATGAACTGCCAAAGTGGTGGATGCAGTTAGAGTTACAACGTTTAAAAGGCATTTGGATAAGCGCATGAAAAGGAAAGGTTTGGAGGGAAATGGACTAAGTGCAGGCAGGTGGGACTGGTTTAGTTTGGGAACATGGTCAGCATGGACTAGTTGGACCGAAGGGTCCATTTCCATGCTGTATGACTGTAATCTCAATGCCATGCTCCTGCTTTCTCTCATACCCATTGATCCCTTTAAAATCCAAAAATGCATCTCTCTCTTTCTTGAATATATACAGTGACTTGGCCTCCATGGGCTTCTATGGTGGAGAATTCTACACATTCAATCCCTTTCAAAGAACATAGATAGAACGTAGAACAGTACAGCACAGTACAGGCACTTCGGCCCACGATGTTGTCCCAAACTATTATCCTACACTAAGATCAAACTACCATGCATATCGTACATTTGACTGTCATCCATGTGCCTATCCAAGAGTCACTTGAATGTCCCTAAAGTATCTGGCTCCGCTACAACCGCTGGCAGCGCATTCCACACACCCACCACTCTGTGTAAAGAACCTACCTCTGACATCTCCCCTATACCTTCCTCCAATCACCTTAAAATTATGCCCCCTTGTAATAGTCATTTCCACCCTGGGAAAAGGTCTCTGCCTATCCACTCTATCTATGCCTCTCATCATCTTGTACACTTCTATCAAGTCACCTCTCATCCTTCTTCGCTCCAATGAAAAAAGCCCTAGCTCCCTCAACCTTTCCTCATAAGACCTGCCCTCCCAGGCAGCATCCTGGTAAATCTCCTCTGCATCCTCTCTAAAGCTTCCACATCCTTCCTATAATAAGGTGACCAGAACTGAACACAATATTCTAAGTGTGGTCTAACCAGAGTTTTATACAGCTGCAGCATAACCTCGCGGCTCTTAAACTCAATTCCCCTGCCAATGAAAGCCAACATACCATGCGCTTTAACAACCCTATCAACTTGGGTAGCAACTTTGAGGGATCTATGGACATGGACCTCAAGATCCCTCCATTCCTCCACACTGCCAAGAATCCTGCCATTAACCCTGAGTGAAGAAATATTTCATCATGACTTCTAAATGCCCCACCTTGTATCCTGAGTGTGTGATCAGGTTGTAGACTCCACAACCAGTGAAAACATCCACCCGCATCTAGTCTGTCTAGCTTTGTTAGAATTTTATATGTTTCAGATTCCCTTTCATTCTTCAAAACTAGTGAATACAGGCCCAGCGTCTCTCCTTATAGGACAATCCTGCCATCCCCAGTAACAGCCTAGTGAACCTCCAATGCACTCCCTCTATGACAAGTATATCCTTAGGGAGGCCTTACTCCAACTGTGGTCTCACCAAGGCCTGTTAAACTACATTATGACGTCCCTGCTTCTGAAATCCTTTTGCAATGAGGACCAGCAAACCATCTGCCTTCCAAACGTCTTGCTGCACCTGCCTGTCTTCTTTCATTGACGAATGTACAGTGACACCCAGATCCCTTTGTACATTCACATTTCCTCACATAGTCCTACTTCAAGAATGCTCTGCCTTTCTGTTTTTCACACCAAAGTGTAGAACTTCAAATTTAGCCACATTGTTCTGCATCTGTCATGTATTTGTCCACTCACTCAACTTGTCTAAATCACCACGAAGCCTCCTCCTCACAACTCATTCAAACGTTATATGGAAATACAACTGGACCCAATTCAATGTATACATGACATTCATTTGGGATAGGATATGAAAACCTTTCCACATCTGAAGTGTTAATGGAGACTGCAGCTGCTATCATGAAGAACTGAACTGAACCTCACTGCTTACCTTCACTGGGTTTATAGGAATTTTGAATGAAGACAAAAGAATTGTGATAATTTCCACAAAGTTCCCAGCTGATGACGTTCCAGATCAGCATTCCAAAAAGTAAGTAACAGGGTACCAAACCATTAAATGGGAAATAGTATTTAGCACTGAAAGCAGGGACCCAACAACAGGGAAAAGAGAAACTACTTTAAAAAGAAGTCTCACCTTTAAGTGGAACAAATAGACATGCCATTTCAGGAACTATAATCAGATTCAATTATTGATTAGTAAGCAACCAAAATATCACTAAGATTTTAGGGTAGGTTTGTAGCTCGGGTTGTGGATGTTGTGATTCGCTGGCTCGCTAAGCTGGTTCGTTGTTCTGCAGATGTTTCATTACCCTGCTGGGTAACATCACCAGTGCAGCCTCTGATATATAATCATTTACAACAAAATATCATTTTTTTAAAACTATACTCAGAAATCAGTTTTGGCATCAAACAAATTGCTGTTCATAGTACAGTTGGAAATGAAAATCTTAGCCATTCCAAATAGATAATTCCCATGGTGAAAGTGTTAACAACTGTATACAATGTTGAGAAACGAGTTTAAAATATTTTGCAAGAACCTAGGTCTAGTTTGAATGGGGGCTGCAGAGGTCTCACCCACTGGCTGAAGAATGGGAAAGAGCCCTCCTTTGGGAAGACCCATGAACTTAAGTGACATTCAAACGCTTAACTGTACAGCAGAAAGCCTTCCCCAGGATGCCCAAAGCCACCAGCTGAACAAAGGCTGGCACTAGGGAGGTAGCCACTACAGCATTCTACAGCCCAAGCCCCAGCGGAGGATGGCAGGAGGACAGTTGCAAGGGAAGGGGGTCATCAGCAAGGATAGAGTGGTGACTTGCAGGTCCCGTTTCCTGCTGCCAGATTTTTTGATGAGGCACCAAGTCCCTTTGAGTAAGGAATCTGATACACACACTGCATGTAGCCAACCTACGGAGTAAATCACACACTGAACGGCTTCAAATCAATAGGTACAGCAGGAAAGCAGTTCTATTGATCCTCCCACTGTTAATTTAATTGGGATAGATGGAGGAAATAGATGGGAGTTCCCCACCATCATCTTCCCACCTGATCAAACAACACTCCTCCCACCAAACCCATCATGGGGGAGGCCATTAAACTGTGCACCACAAAACAGTGAACAAGAAAAGGAACTTCAAGGCACCAATGAAGCATCTTTTGTACAGTGTGTACAATCCACCTTTTCCTGAAATTGGCCCTCTCTTTCAAATCAAACAAGGAAACAAACATTGTACAAAATTTCTTCCACAAGTCCAGTCAACCAAGTCTTTACAATTCGCAAGAATTTCCTCATGATCCAGCAACAAAATAGTAAACAGTTTACACAAGATATTTCATTAACTATCCTTTTATACATCAATCAGAAAGAGAATAAAACCAAGAACTACAGATGCTAGAAATCTGAAACAAAACAAAGATTATTGAAGAAACTCAACTTGGCTGACAACATCAGTGGGCAGAAAGCACGAATCAAAGAGATATTTGCTTAGCGCAATGCTGAATGAGTGAGTTAAGCCAGGTACCACAGACTACTTTTATTGAAAGATAGCAGGGTCATTATAATTGGCAGGTAGAAATTAGTTTTCTGCTGGTTAGACTTCTCAATAACTCTTCCATTAGCCACAAAAAAATGGATATCTGATGTAGCTCTGTTAATACTCAAGTATCCCATTACTATGCGATTTTATGTTAAAACCGTGACACCTTTTGTCATTTGATCTCTCCTGCCCTACACCCTATTGGAGACCGTCCCTTTGCTCTTCCAACACTCCACCCTTTCATTTGTTCAAAACCTGCTACATTTCTGTACAGCTTAGTTATGACAAAAGGTCAGAGATCTCAGACGTTAATCCTAATTTGCTCTCTATCAATGCTGTTAGAATGGTGTGTTTCCTGCATTGTCTGTTTTTATTTCAAATTTCCAGCAACTACAGGCAGCACAACAGTATCTTCTGGAGTTCCGTGCTAGCAGAGGTCATTAATTGGGATGGGAAGTTTCATGGAAATCCTAAGTGTCAAGAGGATACCAAAGGGGGTGGGAAAGAGATAGGGGTAAAACTAGGAGTGGCAAAGGATGAGGATGAAAGGTCGTATTGGGAGTGAAGAGCATGCCCACAATCACACAGTCACTTCCCATTCTGGATGATTTACAGAGGAATTCTTAACAGTGAAACGTTCTTCAAAAATGAAAATGCGAAATGCAAGTCTGACACACAAATAAAAAAAAGTCCCTAACACTAAAATTGTTGATCTTGCCCAAAGAGGTCACATGCTGCCTGATGTAATTAGAGACGCTCTTTCCCAGTTAGAGCAGAGACAGTTGTTGGAGCTAAAGAGAAGTTTTACTCTCTCTCAATGATATACACAGCCGGTTAGCTGTACAGCAGGTTTGTGATATTGATGCCACCAAGGTGAGCTCAATTGCCTCACCAGCTGAGGTCACCAAACAGCCTCACCTTCTCAATCTCACCCCTCACCTCAAACGTGGCGACTCTCCAGTTAAACCACCACCAGTCGTATTTCTCCAATGAGAGAAGAGCCCTGTGGGACTATACATTTTTATTTTACATACAGTGTCCATTGAAGAAGAAAGTCAGTTTACATTCACAGAATTTTAAACCCTGGCCTGTTTGACCACAGATACGCTGACAATGTTAAATGCTTTAAAATAGTGAGAGGTTAAGAGATCTCCGGAATTCATTGTTGGCTATCGACATAAATACTTCACATTAAAAAAAAAATACATATAGTACTGAGGACATATATAATCTTCCAATAGACTTTGTTAGACATACCTTGAACTCCCTGAAGTAGTAGATCAACTCCATTCCTGTAGAAATTGAAGGCACCTTCGTAATCTTGTTCTGCTTCTTTCTGCAATGCCAGCTTTATCTGTTCGCCTGCCTTTGCCAAGTAATCGCCTTTCCCTGTTCTTCGTTTGAGACTTCCAATTGGTTGTGACCACAAGCCTCTGCCTCCTTCAGCCCCATCTTGACTCCTCTCCTGAGAAGGAACTGTAGCTGATCTTGTAGGTTCAGGGGAGGAACTATGTTTTGTATATCTGCTTGGGGAGCTTCTATTTGATGCCATTCCATCATCACATTCAGCAAGTGAATCCCCATCCACTGTCAATGACAGCAAGTCACTATCGCTGGATAAACCTGGTTGATCGCTTTCTACAAGAAAATGACGGCAGGAGATAATGAGAAAAGATTCAGTAAATACATGGGCGGAATAGAGTACATAACTTTCAATAAAATTCAAATAGTTATTAGCCAGCATTATCACTTGTACCGTAAGATTAAACTGTGACTTAAAGAACCAGAATTCTAACAGTACTTATAATTCAGATTCAGTTCACCGAATAAATTTATCAAAGTTTTTTTTTAAGATTCATAGGTTCCTCGCTTGTAGAACAACCCATCTCAGAAGAAGCAGGGTTGCTTCTTTCATTAAAAGGGAGCGTCACTCGACCTGAAACTTTAACTTTGATTTCTCTCCACAGATGCTGCCAGGCCCACTGAGCTTTTCCAGCAATTTTTGGTTTTGCTCTTTTTCATTGTCCGGTGACAATATGTACCAAAAAGCCTCCGATGTTGAATAGGAAAATAAGTAATGACAGCAAGTCCATGAAGTTTTACATGTCAAGGTGATTATAACCTGAGGAACATTTGCAGTTTTACTAAATTTAGCCTTTTAGTGCTCCATTCTAAACATCTTACAACCCAGGTGTTTTAAGGTTTCCATTTTGGGAAGCACGGAAGTCCCAGCTATTCCACTTAGTCTGCTGCACATTTTTATCTACTAATCTCAATCTACCATCTTAATGAGTTGTGAAGCCTAGAAATGTGTTTAATCAGAAACATTATTTTCATAATTCTCTGCACAAATCTAATATCAAAACATCTATAATCCTTTTGGTTTTAAAAGGAAGCTCTGTTCATAACTAATCCCATATATGGGTCATTGATGTATGTAACACTTCCAGTCTTACTATCACCATCATACACTGTACATATACTTCACCCTGCTTCATTTCCAAAGTCAGCTGCCTGTTCCCCATGGCACCACCCCACTGAGAATTCAGAAGATCAAACTATATGGACTTCAGTAAGGCGTTCAACAAGGTTTCGCATGGTAGACTGGTTCACAAGGTTAGATCACATGGAATCCAGGGGGAATGAGCTAAATGGATACAAAATTGGTTTGAAGGTAGGAGAGAGGATAGTAGTGGAGGGCTGTTTTTCAGACTGGAGGCTTGTGACCAGCGGTGTGCCAAAAGGATTGGTGCTGGGTCCACTGCCTTTTGTCATTTATATAAATGATTTGGATGTGAATATAGGAGGTATGGGTTCGTAAGTTTACAGATGTCACCAAAATTGATGGTGTAGTGAACAGTGAAGAAGATTATCTCAGAGCACAGTGGGACCTTGATCAGATGGGCCGATGGGCTGAGGAGTTGCAGAAGGAGTTTAATTTAGATAAATGTGAGGTGTTGTATTTTGGTAAAGCAAATCAGGGCAGGAGTTATACCGTCAATGGTAGGATCCATGGGTTCAGCAAAGATTTACAAGGATGTTGCCGGGTTTGGAGGGTTTGATCTATAGGGAGAGACTGAATAGGCTGGGGCTATTTCTCCCCTGGAGCTTCAGAGGCTGAGGGTGACCTTATAGATGTTTATAAAATCATGAGGGGCATGGATAGGGTGATTAGCCAAGGTCTTTTCTCCACCCCCCCCCCCGAGGGTAGGGGAGTTCAAAACTGGACGGCATAGGTTTAAGGTGAGAGGGGAAAGAGTTATAAGCGATATAAGAGGCAACTCCTTCATGCAGAAGGTGGTGCATGTATGGAACAAGCTGCCAGTGGAAGTGGAGGCTGGTACAATTACAACATTTAAAAGGCATCTTGGGTACATGGATAGGAAGGGTTAGAGGGATATGATCCAAATGCTGGCAAATGGGACTAGATCAGTTTAGGATATCTGGTCAGCATGGACAAGTTGGACCGAAGGGTCTGTTTCCATGCTGTATAACTCTATGACTCTGACCTAGCACTCCTGTCACCTTCAGTCACTCCTGCCTTTAGTCCTTTTTCTTTATGCCACCTTCTGTCCACCCTACAAATACCTTTTTTCATTGACCAGTCGAATAAACTGCATCTGTCTGATCATATTCTATCCTACCTACATTAACCTAAAAATCTGCTTTGTTATTAAAATTTGAACAAACTATGTATAACAAATAAACTAGAAGTGGATTAAGCGCTTATGGATCATTAAAACTCATTGCCAGCTAACACAGAAACATTTAGAAAGAAGTATAGCTTTATAGGCTGTATCCTACCGGGGAGGTTATTCCCCTGAACATCATGAAGGGAGTGTCTGGTGCTTACAAAGTTGGCAATTCACTACTGCTACTGCTACTGCAACAAGCATCACCTGACTTAAGCTCCAAGTCTGCATAATCTTCACTGTCAGTACTGGTATACCTCAGCAGAGCCTAGTTTGGATAAATCCTAGCAATGTCTAAACTCATATCAAACCCCAAGACCTCATAAAATTTCACAATGCTGTCAGTCCTCAAAATTCTCCGCAAGTACTTTGAAGCTCTAAAATACCAATTCTAAGAAGTTCACAACCACCTCTAATGCCCCCTAGCCTGGATACTCATCAGCGTCATTACATGACCTTTCATAGCATATTTGTCCTTCCCTTTTCAAAAAGGGAAAGAAATAACTAAAAATTGACAAGAAACAAAAGGAACAATTCCAATGATGTGCATTTCTTATGGAAAAATCTGCTCAAAAACTGAAGAGGAGAACTGAAGAGGACAATATCATAATTGCACCCTGTAAAAGTTTACTTTAAAAAATTCCTTGGAAGAAGTGACGAGTCTCAATGTTTTAGGCACAGTGTCCTATTGTTGTCTGGAGGAATGACCAGAATAGGTGAAAGAGATAGCTCTGTCTCATGGAGGATGGGAATATGGGTGGGATCTTACAGCCGATTTTCCAGCTGATTGTTGACTATGGTGGTGATGTTTTTACAGGGTTTGGGGACAGCTTTGCAGAACACCTACTCTCGATGCACACTAAACAACTGCACCTCCCAGTCGAGAACCATTTCAACTCGCCCTCCCATTCCTCAAACGACATGTCCATCCTGGGCCTCCTGCAGTGCCACAATGATGCTACCCAAAGGTTGCAGGAACAGCAACTCATATTCCGCTTGGGAATCCTGCAGCCCAATGGTATCAATGTGGACTTCACAAGCTTCAAAATCTCCCCTCCCCCAACCGCATCCCAAAACCAGCCCAGCTCGTCCCCGCCTCCCTAACCTGTCCTTCCTCCAATCTAACCTCTCCTCCCACCTCAAGCCCCACCCCCACCTCCTACCTACCATCCTCATCCCGCCCCATTGACCTGTCAGTCCTCCCTGGACTGACCTATCTCCTCCCTACCTTCCCACCTACACTCACCTTTACTGCCTCTATCCCCGCCTCTTTGACCTGTCTGTCTCCTCTCCACCTATCTTCTCCTCTATCCATCTTCTATCCACCTCCCCCTCTCTCCCTATTTATTTCAGAACCCCCTTCCCCTCCCCCATTTCTGAAGAAGGGTCTAGGCCCGAAACGTCAGCTTTCCTGCTCCTCTGATGCTGCTTGGCCTGCTGTGTTCATCCAGCTCTACACCTTGTTATCTCTTTACAGGGTTTGTAGGCTGCGATGTGTTTCCCAATGCAGATGAGTCAACGTTTCAGGCTGCAGCAGGTGGTCTATAACATCACCTGGTTTGTTACTCACTGCTGCCCGAGGGAAGCAACTGACACTCTTGTCAGCAAAGAGGACTGCATAACATTCACTTACCATAGAGGCAGATACAGCATGTTGGTGGGTTCAGGATAACAATTTTCCCCATGGTTCAGAATGCCATTGACTACACATATGGCTTTGCCTGCCCCACATTTAAAAGCAGAACAGTGCCATAACTGCAAAAGGGTCCACTCTGAAAGCACAGTTAAAGTACAACCATGCACACATGATCATTACAGGTGCTGCCCAAATATGGCTCAGAGCCACAGACTGTATCCACCAAGCAAACTATTCATTGACCATCCAGTTCATGATGTCAATACTCAACCCAATAGCATTTACAAGAAACTTCACAAAGTAGGCGATTAGTTCATTCCAACAAGATGTCCACTGCCTAACCCATTCTAGAACAACCCTGTTGTACTGACCAGAGCAAGTGTCACAATTCATTGCCACAAATAGTACGTGGCAAACAGCTAATACAGGGAGAGAAAAGGGGGTGCGAATCAAAATAAACCCTTTCAGGGCATTCATTGAACCAAATGCAACCCCTTTTATTCAAAATATGTATTCAGGAAGATGCTAAAGGGGATTGACAAAGGAGAGGATGTTTCCTCATGTGGGGCAATCTAGAACTAGAGGTTCCAATTTTCAGGTAAGGTGTAGCAGATTTAAAACAGAGACAATGAGAAACTACTTTTCTCAAAGGGTTGCGAATCTGTGGAATTCATTACCCGAGGATGTCAGGACATTGGGTAAATTTAAGAGCAGACAGACAGATTTTTAATTCGTAACAAATTGAAGGTATATGAAGAGTGGGCAGGAAAGTGGAGTTGAGGCTAAGACGAGATCAGCTATGATCATATTAAGTGGTGGAGCAGGCTCAAGGGGCTGAATTGCGTACTCCTGGTGCAAGTTCTTATGTTCAACGTGGGAGTCATTGGCGCTTGTTGGACAATCCCAACTGTCCTTCAACTAAGTGACTGCTCGACAACTTCAAAAGGGCAGAAGAATCAACCACATTTCTGCAAAATTAATATTCACATTAGGCCATACTGGGAACAGTGGCTGATATCCTTCCCTAAAGCAGGGAGAGTGAACCAGGTTTGTTTTTATGGCACTGATAATCTTAGGTCATGTTCACTATTAGGCAGAGCCGGTTTCAATTCTAGAATTATTCATTGAATTTTTATTCCACTAGCTACTATATTTGGATTTGAACCCATGTCCTCAGAGAATTAGCCTAAACCCCTGGATTACTAGTCTAGTGACACATCAAAATGACTCCCTTATTCTTCATTCCCGATTGTCCAATCTATGACAGTCCCATGCCATGTCTTCCTGTGTCACTGACCACCACAGCATTC